CTCTAGGACGAGGCATACCAATAGGATGATGTGACAGTGCCTAGTTAATGCATCAGGGCCTCCATTGCACCGAGCACCGTACAACAGCAGAGCCAAAAGACCTGGTTCTGTGTTTATGCAGTCAAGAGCCATGGGCTATCCCAGAACAGCGTTGCTGTCCTCCCAGATCTCCCTTGCCAACACCCCTTCTAGAGCCAGAGCTGGGGGCTGTTCTGTCACCATGAGATTTATCTACTGAAATGGACCAGCTGTTCTCTTTGTCTCTGCTTACCCATGATTGCCAACTAGCCACAGCAACTGTATATAATATAGCATATTTTTTAATTCTATTATTAACTTTCTTTATAAATCATGGTTTAAAACAATGCAAGTTATTTCAGTGGGTTTGTGCAACAAAGGAGAGTTTGGAATTCCTTATCAGAGATCACTGCTGGACCAAGCTGCTGGGGAGAGGGGAACGGGAATTATCTGCTGCATATTTATCTGGGGGTTGGATTATTTGGGCGGGGGGAGGTGGAGGGAGGGGAAGGGAGGGCTATTTTTTTTCCTCCTCCAGAGACTTGAAATCCTTACAAATACGCCCAGTTGGGAGAGTCAGCCCTCTAGCTGAGTCTGTTCTGTTGGCAAGCACGCCCCCCTGCCCCTCCATGAGTCAGAGGCAGCCAGAACCACAGAGGCAGCTACCGAGTCTCATTCAAAAAACCAAAAAAAAATGCCTTTGTAGACCCCATGTCTCCCCCATGAGTTTGGGGTTGATAGATGCTGACAATGGGAGAGGAGAACATGGATGAGTCAAATGCTCTGGAGTGTTTATGTCATGGTGGGGAGGGTGGCAGGGGGGCACTGGTCTGAAACCCCAAGGTTGCACTTGGGTTGCCCTAGAGGGGCTGGAGAAAGGTGGGGTTGGCACACAACCCCTTGGTTCTTGGTTGAAGATGTGTGCTTATTTGCAAAGAGGCAGTCTGCTTTGCCATCGCCATCCCTCAGCTGGGCTGTCCTCATGCAGGGTTGGACAGGGGCACCCTGTCCCAGAAGCTCTTCTGTTCTCACCTTCTTGCTCTTTCCCCTTGGCTCCATCCCCACCGTTTTCATTGAGCACAAACACAGCAGTGACTGCCATATCTAAGGGCTAATTTTTTGCTGCCATAGCCTATTGCTACCTTGAAGGAATGACCAGGACACTTACAGGCGCGTTCTCAGTGTAAAGCTACCTCTGACATAAAGGCTGCTATCTCCTGGCTGTGCTCCATTGCACCACCCATGACAACACCCCCTCGCTCTCCAGCTGCCCTTCCCTGCTTCCTGCCAACAGCCCTTGAAAATGTTCAGGCTCCGTTGCCTTCCTCTTGAAGGCTCATTGTCTTATCTTTGGCCAAGCCCACGTGTCCTATGTCACGTCACCCCTGATCTTCCCCCAACCTGGGAAGCCATGGAACCAAACCGGCCACAGACCCTGCACCCACCTTAGTAAAGTTCCCGTCTGCTGTCATGAGGCTCAGAGTTGCTTGGTATTTGTGTACTGTGTCCAGGAGAGGCCGGGAGACGTCAGCTAGGAGGAACATGGGGGCTGAAGGCAACACTGCAAGAGCCACACTGAGCTGCTAGTGATGGAAGATACTCTTGGCATGATGGAGTCCTGCACGGTGTCCCCACTGTCCCTTTTTCTCCCAGACTCAGCCAGTGAGGAGGGGCTGGTAGAGACTGGTGAGGAGAGGTTTAATATGACAGGAGTTCATGGGAATATTGAGATCACAGGCAGCATCTCCCATCCCAGGATACCGACTTGAGCTCAGGTGCCCTCCCAACTGCCCATGTGGCTTAAAATGGCCTTGCCCAAGACACTGTGGGACCTGATCTCCTTCTCCCCAGCCTTTCTTCTCAGCTTCTCCATGCTGATGTGGCTTTTTCCCAAAAGCAATCATGGGAAGTGTGGGGGGTCCGGCCTAGCTCAGTTTGCTGGTGAGATACGTTCCAATCTTGCATTCAAGTCATTAGTTTTCCTGTCCGCACCCCTGAGCACGGCAGTCAGAGCAATGGGGATGTATCGGTCCAGCTAAATGCATTTCTCTATGCCTCAGACTTTGGAGGGGATGCCTGGGAAGTCTCTGACTGAGCAACGTGATGGAAAAGCTATTTCTAATTGCTGCTTTTTTTTTTCTTTTCTTTTTGTAGGGAGCAGGGAAATGGGGAGAGGGGAGGGTACGTTTCATCCTTCCAGCCCAATCACACTTCAAGGTAGCAGTCCCATATGTGAGTCTTTTCCCATGCGTTCCATTCTTCACCCAGTCCAGGACCAAGGTGGCTTTGTAAGAAGCTACCAACCCATAATTACCTTCCTTCTTTCTGAGGCACCAGAGTCCAACGTGGGGGCAGAGGTGCGCATCACTTTGACTAGCTAGCCACAGCCCAGGCAGCAAGTTGCTCCGCCAGCTTTGGAAGCCAGTTCCTAGGGTCTGGGTGGACACTGGGCTGCCGGACCAAATGGACCCCTCACACCCGACCATGGAAGGTCACTGAGAACAGAACATGCTGCTCCCAGCCCTCTCCTTATTTCTCACCCACCACTTCATTCAAGTAACATCTTTTTATTGTTTTCCAAAATATTTTTTTCAGCTGTTTTTTTTTTCCTGCCTTTTCTTTCTTTTTTCCTTTGTTTCCTTTTTTTTTTTTTTTTTTGCAATTGCCTACAGAGCACTCATTTCCCAGGAGGGGGAGCGTGGGTGGTGGGGAGGATGGTGCGTGGGGGGGAACAGACCACCAGGGGCTTTGAAATTCTAATTTATTCTGATTATTTTGAATGATTCTTCTTTTGCTTTCCTTGTAGTATAAAGAAAGACGAATGGAAGTTAACTCTGTAGCTCTGTAGTTAATGATATTCTGCTTAGACTGAAATAAAGCACAGTCCAGTGGGAATTTTCCCTGTTGTTTCATGTGTGAGTCTCTTCATCTTTGTGTCTCTGCCCATCCGCAAGATGTGGCCAAACCCAGCTGACAGTGCCTCTTGGCACGTGGCTTCCGGCACGATGCTACAACCCTGAACTATCCGTTTTCACTCTTGATCTTTCTACATGGCCCACATGGTGGCTCTGACCATATCAGCTCGGCTCCAGTGCCATCTGAGCAAACAGCCCCAAAAGCCAGTTTTTGATTTACTGGGACAGGGAGAAATGGCAACAGACACAAGATCTTCCCAGAGAGGGAGAAAGGGAAAGAAAGCTCTCTGCGCCATAGCGCTGTGGGAGCAGCTGCACTCTTTCCGGAGAGCTGAATCTTTCGTGTCAGCCGCTGGGCATTGGGGTCTGTGCTAAGGGGCAGCTCCTGCAGCAGGAGAAATCGTGGTTCCTCTGGAAGACTTTACATTCTGAATTGCCCCCAATTTAAGGAGACTCCATTTTAAATGGGGAGGGAGGCGTTTGACATGAATGGTTTGGAACGTCCTCACCTCGGCCCAGCTGATGTCAGTAGAAGAAAGAAGTACCCTGCTCCATCTTTCCAGCTCGGGCTGGTGTCCTAGAATAAAGGTGTCCCAAATCAGAGGTCTTCTCAAAAGATGTGGGGTGAAATCGTGCTCTCATGGAGTTCACCAGGGTTCGAATTTCATTGATGGCCCTAAATTTCCCCGGCATCCTTGACTCCTGAAATGAAAAGGATACCTCCTGGTGCTGAAGCACTGGCCCACTACTGAGGTGCCTTTCTCCCATAGAAATTCAAATCCCATCTCCAGCACGCCCAGCCTAGGTCCTGGCCAGGAAGCGCCACAAAGCGTTGGAGCCGAGCAGTGTCACTAAAGAGCTGGAACAGGAGGAGCTTCATATCACAGGCCCTGATTCAGCCAGACCTTCGACGCAAGCAGACGTGTAACATGAACAGCATCATTGACTTCAGTGGAGCTAGGCATGGGCTTAAAGCTGGGCAAGTGCCTCCAGCCCTTGCTGAATCAGAGCCAGTTTCTCCTCAATGGAGGCTGGGGACCTGGGACAAGCCGATGGCTTCAAGGCTGTCAGCACGCACAGAGGTGTGTTAGGGGCACACATAAGCAGGGCAGATACAGGCAGCACAGGCTGCTACAGGACAAAGCTCCTTTCTGAGGCCTGCAGGCAGGGCAGCTCTGGGAGAGTGGCGCAGCATCTCCCCTGCCTGGTGGAGCAGCACCAGCTTGGTGCCGATGGCAGATCTGTCTTTCCTGGGGATGGTGGCTGAGGGGAAAGGAGCCCGGTGAGCTTGACCAGACCTGGCTTGCCTGGCACCAAGCACTGTAGGTGGGCCTCGTCCCTCGTGACGGATGCCCCTTCTGTATTGATAGCACTGGCGAACTGGGAGCTCCTGCATCTTGCCACTGCCAAGACAACTTGCAGTCAGTAAATGGACCATGTCCCAGAGCAACGCTGCAGAGACAGGAGCTTGGGGAGCATCCTTACAGGTCCTCTCACATGCCAGTCAGCAGCTCTGCCCGCAGGAAACTGCCGTGGTGGAGACTCCTACTGGTCATCACCTGCTCTGTCAGCAGTGGGGAGCAGGTCTCAGCCTCTGACTGCCAGCCAGTCAGCCACCATCCCTCTTGCCCACAAGAAGCTCACGTCACTGAATACCTAGTAGCTTGCCCTGGCTGGTGACGGTGTGGTTGGTGCCTCCTGGAGAAGGGCTGCTGTCACAGCTCTCCAAAGCTTGGCTGGCACTGCTGCACCAAGATGGTCTCACCGAGTGTTGGCAGGCACTCATTTCTGAGCAAGGAGAGATGGCAATGGGGGGGGCACAGCACCTCCTCCAGGTGCCAGGGGGAATAGCGAAACCAGCACATGAAGGGAACCAGCCCCCACAGCAGGGTTCAAATGCTCTCCCCAGGCTCTACGCCCAGGTCCTTCAGCACTGAACCCCAGAGCTCCACTCCTGAGCCAAGAGAGCAAGACCTTTGCGTGCGCGCAGCAGTAGACGGTTATCTTCCACAGGCACCAACGAGTAGACACGCCGCGAGCCCATGACACCACTGGAGAAGTCAGGGAGAGTTTTTTAAAGAACTTTAATAAGCTAAAACCATTTTTTTGTTTCGTTTTTGTTAGTCGTTAAAAACGTCATCACTGTAAACGTGAGAATGGCCACCTGCCCCGCCGCAAAGGCCAGGCCTGCGGGCAGAGGGCACATGAGTGAGATGGGACGTGGCAACGGGCTCCTTCGCGGTGCTGGGACAAAGGGACTTTGGGGCCAGGTTGGGGAGGAAACGGGGAAGTATCCACAAGTCCACCCCTTCTGCATTCTCTGTTTTACATCTATGTACAGGCAGAAGCGGAGCCGGGGGGAAAAACTGACTCGCTGCTGGGCTTCTGATGTGGCACCACAGCCATCGCTGTCCAGACGGAGGCGCTGGCTAGAGCAGCATGGCCCTCCCTGAAGGAGGCGGCTGAGGCCTCCCCTCATCCCCGACCTCCCCCACCCCCCTTCTTCCCGGTTCCTTCTTCCAGCCGGTGTTTTCATTGCTCCAGTCGGCAGCCTCGGACACCTGGCTCCTTCAGCCCATGTCGAGGGGAGGGAGCAGTCGCTGGCTCCCTGCACGAACAAGCGGGATGCTCCGTGCGCCCCTCAGTTTGTGTAGACCTGAGTTCCAATCACGCGCATGATTTCCTTCTGGATTTTGGGGTCCTGAGTATTAATGTTGGCGTCTCCTACTTGTCCGTCTTCGTACCTGCGATGGGGGAGAACTCCATGAGGGGAGACACAAGGATGTGGAGGCCCACGGGGCTAATAACAAGCCTTGTGCAGCTCTGCCCAACAAGGGGAGCTTCCATACTGGGCTGTGGCCCATCAACAGTGTCACTCTGTGTGGACAGAGGAGCCTCTGCCTTCACACGCGGGCGCCTCACACTGAGCGACAGGACCTGGATACCACGGAGCTGCCCTCATGCTGATGAAGAGGGCACTTCACTTAAAGCACCCACACTGAGCCACACCTGGGGATGGTCCTGTCTGTTAATGCTCAGGACACAGAGCCTGTGAAGGGGCCTGAGCATCACTCATTGCCCTGCTCTTGGGGTGGAGGCAGGTCTCTGCCTAGGCAGGATGTGGCCAAGGCCAGGCTCCCAGGGACTAAATGCAGCCCCCTCTGCTGGGATGCAGATGCTGTGCATGGGGATCAAGGGCTCTCTGCCCCCACACTCCCTCCTGAGCTGCTGCTGCCTGCCTTCAACAGCACCCCATGCTCACATGTATCAGCCATTGAGCCATGCCTGCTCTACCATGCTGGGGCTCCCCGTCCGCCTGTTGCTGACCCCAGGTAGGCAGGCAGGGGGCTGAGAATGCCCCATCCCTATGTCCCAATGCAGCTCTGGCCAGGAGCTCTCCCCCTGCCACCCTGCAGTGCCAGAGGGAGAGGGGGCGGCCACAACTGCGAGGCCTGGCTGCACTGGCGTGGAGGCTGCGCTTGAGATCCATGTGTTGTGTGTGTGGGACGTGCCCCCTGCCCCCACTGGAGCTGTGCTAGGAAGCATGGGCCACAAGTCCCTTTTCTCCAGGGCTGGGGAGGGCTGGTGCCCATGACGTTTAGCAATCTCCTTTGCACTCTTGATGCCCTGGCCCAGTCTGGTCAGCCCCACCACTCCCCAGTACTCACACAAAGAAGAAGCGGGTGCAGACGTGGTCCGAGACTGGGCACACCCAGATGTTTCCGTGCTTCTGGAGGTCCTTGGAGGTGATCACTGCCAAGAGGGAAGGCCATCAGACAGACGCCTGCCCAGCCCAGCCAGCCCCACCCTGTCCCTCATCCTGCACTACACCAGTGCCTTGCCTTGGACTTTGGCCATGATGGGCCACATCCTGCAACTCCCAAAGAGAGTGAGCTGCCTCCTGGGACCCTCCTTGCCCACCCCAGAACCAGGAGGTGGGTGCCGGCCGCTAAAGGACAATAGGGTATGGATGGTGCTGCGCAGCAGTGCAGCCAAATGTCAGTCCCAGGGAACTGCTCTAGACTAAGCCATAACCCAACAGACTCCTGTTCCCACAGAACAGGCGCCCGTCCCAGCAGCCACCGTGAGCATTTATTCATTCATTCATTAAGTTCTGTCCATTAGTGACATTTACTGGCCAGTGCTCTGGAGGTACCAGACCCCAGATCAGAGGCTCTCACACTCCCCGTTGATGTATTACTAGTGTCCAGCCACAGTCTTTGCCGTATAAGCAGAAAAAAGGGTGGGAGGGGAAACTGAGGTACCAAGCAAGGAAGGGACACTCCACTGAGACCAAGGCTTATTTAAGTGTCCACAGCAACCCATGCTGCTTTACTGCCTCCCTTCCCCTGGCAGCTCACTGAACTGGGGGAGAAGGTCAGATCATCAGCATCCTCCTGCCCCCAGGAGAGCTGTGGGATGGGGGAGCCAAAGTCACCACCACCATGTGAGGAGGAACCCAAGTGAGCAAAGCCAGCCACGGCTCTCATGGATGATGTGGCATCATTCCCCTCCCGCTGTGGTACTCGCATCATTCCCCTCCAACCATGGTACTGGCATCCCCTACATCCGTAGCATCATGGATGATGTGGCCACGGATAATGTGGCATCATTCCCCTCCAGCCGTGGTACTGCCCTGGACAGGCTGAGACACTCCCGTAAAGGGAAACAAACCCATGTGGGCTTCCATGATGCTCACAGCACAGGAGCCAGGGACCTCTTTTGTTACAACCCCTCTCCTCGGGTAATCCATGCACCGGGGTAGCTAGGGAGGACAGCACGAGTGGGATGATGTCAAGAGCCACTGTAGGAATGGGCAGGAGTCCTGAGCAGTGTGCCTCTCCCACCACGGCATGGGGACAGCAGGCACCAGGGACACAGCCCATGCCAGTACTAGTGACCTCGGACCTCAGAAGGCAGACCAAAGGTGCCCACAGCACCCAGGGCTGATGCTCCACACCCTTGTTGCTGTATTATTCCCAGGGGTAGAGAGTGAGCCAGGGCCTCTTCTTTCCCCTCACCCGCAGCCCCTCTTACCTTCACAAAGTGCTATGCAGTTCAGGTTCCGGCTCTGCAGGAACCGTGACTGGATGGACCGGGTCTGCAAACGATCCACACAGAGCCAGCGTCACCGCCTGCCCCCTGCCTCTGCTACTCGGCAGCCCGGCCTGCCCCAATGCCCAAGCCTGCAGTGTGACTCCAGTGCCCAGCTCCTCCATCCCACGTTTGCCCTTCCTTGGCCTCTGTCATTTGCACAGATGTGGGTTTTGTGGCCCTGCTCTCATCTCAGGGGTGGCTCTCAGGCTCCATCCCCTTCCCAGTACTCAACAGGCTGGTCTCCAGGCTGCTTAAAGCCTGCCACCCTCCACGGAGCGGTGCCTGGGGAATCTCCAGTCGCACTGAGTCCAGGATTTGATGCAGGTCCCATGCAGAGGTTTATGGCACTGACTTGGGCTGTGCATGGGGTGGGCAGGCACTGACCAGGGCTGGGGTGCATACACAGAACTATACTAGTGCAGCTCAGCTTTGTCCCCAGCCCCCCAAATTCCCTACTATTCCATGTCTCTGGACACATAATAAGACTTTCGGCTTTGCACAAATGGCCACAACAAATACCCCCAGACATCTCTTGTAAGGCATGCAAAGGATGTAAAACCAGGGCTCCTGATGTAGAAGATCAGGGTGATCACCAGACAGGAAGGTGAGTACAAATGTACCAGTTTTGTGGAGAGGCAAACTGAGGCATAGGAAGGGGGTATACAAACTGCTCAGGGCTGGCTTTGAACCCAAAGCTGCACTGCTATCAGTATGAGCAGTGCTCAACTGAAGCCAAGTGCCCAGGAAAATCCCATCTAGAGAGGCTGTCACATGTACAGTCAAACAGGAGAGTGGAAATGGGTGCAGAACCCTAGAGTCCTGATGCTCAGTCACCTGCTCTACCCACTGGACAATGCTCCCTCCCCAGAAGTACAGCAGCAGCAATGTATTATGGGCTATGTCATACATCAATTTTGACACCCCTTGAGGTCAGAAGAGCAAATACCCTGTGTTGCTCCCCAGTCTACCCTGCCCCTCATCCCTCGGGGCAAGTTACCTGGGGGATGGTGTTCATCCGGTTATATCTCTGGACCAGCTCATCCTTCGAGGGCATCCGGTGCTGTCCTTTCCCCATCCCTGTTTGGCAACAAAGTCACAACAGCACCACGGATCAGTACTTGTGCACCCAAGGCCTCCCTAGGGCAAGCATGTGCCACAGGGGACAGCTGCTTTCTGAGGGAGATGGCAGGGGGCTGTGCTGGGCAGGCTACTTCGAGTGGAGGGCAGCAGCACTGCATTTACCACCAGCCACCCCCGGCTGGGTGGGACAATGTCATCAGACAACACATGGCTGACAACACAACCCGCAGCAGGATCTGAGGGGCACAGATTTCAAGGCAGCCCAGGCCAACGGCCAGACATAGAGTTGACATGGTGAATATATGAGATGGATCCTGGCTGAGCTGGGAAGCACTCTCGCTCTGCCAGGCGCCCTGAGGAGGAGATGCTGATTAACTAGGTTCTTACATGGTTCCTCCTCACCTGGTACCACACAGCCATGTCTAGAGCTAGGCTCTAGGATTAGCCCCATTTTACAGAGAGGAAACTGAGTCATGAGGTAGATTCAGAAGCATGATCAAAGCCACAGAGAGCTTTTACAGCCAAGCAGGGAGCAGACCCTCTGTCTCCTGAGTCACAGTCAGTGCCCCTACCCACTATGCAGCCTTTCCTACCCTATGCCCAGGCCTTGCCTTTGACATGTAATATCCTCTGTAACTTAACACGTAGCAGGCTCTAAAAGAGCAGGGATCTACAATAAAGTGTTACCAAAAGGGCTGCATGCTGCCTGTTGGAGAAGTGACATAGAGACACCTACAGTGCTGTGAAGTCACCATTAATGGTAGCCTGAAGGGTCAGGGTGGAGTGGTGCCCGGGTGGTGGGAGCCCGGGGGTTGGGATATCTCAGTCTGGAGGCTGTCACTGGGGTTGCTTCGCTCAACACGCTGTTGGGCAGAGCAAGCCTGACGGCCCTAAGCTCAAGTAGTAGAAGCCATCAGCGCTCTTGTTGGCAACACAGGCTCCCTGACTTTCTTGTGTCTGGCTTATGTTGGCACCCTGAGACATGCACCATCACCAAACACTCCTGGACCAAGTCTATGCTGCCCAGGCAATTTCTGGGCTCAGGGCATGAAGAGAGTCAAAAACAAGCTGCCAAGGGCCTGTTCCTGAAACTGTGATGGGTCTGGCAGCTCTGACCGACAGGGGGGAAGGCCTGTACCAGGGCAAGATGTTTCAGTTGGGCTGGAGGCTAAGGCTGGAGCAGACATCATCTTCTGCCTCCCTCTGCCTCACAGACCTGCCCAGGTTGCCTGAGCCCCAGATCATGAGAGTGACAGTTTTGGGGGCCCATGGGGTGCCCCGAATGAGGGCTGTGGGAATCACAGTGCTCCTGCATTTGCCTCCACGTGTGGAGTTGGTACCAGAGCACATCCCTGCTCCCCAGCCTCCATGGACCAAAAAAAGGATCAGTAAAAGCCCTAAAAGCCAGGGCTGTATGGAAATCTCCTTCCACACCCCGAGCACCCCTTTGGCCCTGATGGTGCTGTCTGGCCAGTAGCCATGATGCCTCTGGCTGCCAGCCCCCAGAAGCGGGCTCCTGCAGAAAGAGGCACCTGATTGGCTCTGGAGCAGGCACTGGGATTTGCCTGCTCCTTTAAGGGAGCCAGCAGCCCACGAGGCTGCTTGCAGGTGTCAGAAGGGAGCTAATGAGGGACTCACCTGACCAAAAGAGGGCTCAGGCTGGGGCTATATAAACCCAGAGCCTGCAGGGGTAGGGAGTCTCTCTCCAGCAGTCAGGAAGTGAGGAGCTTCTGGCTGTAGGGGCTCTTGAAGGGACTTGGCTCTTGGCTGAATGACTGTGCAGGCCTGGGAACAGGGTCAAGTTCCTGAGACTGGGAAAGACTGGGGTTACAGGCAAGGGGCCTTATTCTGTGTTAAACCCCTACAGGGATCAAGATGCCTGGCAAAGGGCAGGGATGTTTCTTATTCATTTGAGCTAAACCAGTAGTTTAGCCTATTGAGAGAGCCTCAGACTGAGGGTGGGACCCAGTGAGGAGCCCAGGAGCTTAGAAAAAGACTGGGACACAAACTGGGAGGTCCAAGAGAGATCAGGGAAAGGTTGAGCTGGGCCAGAGGGTCCACAAGCCCAGAGTGCCCCAAGCTGGACTGGGGGGTCTGAGCCTGGAGGAGGAGCTGTGTGTGGGACTGGGGGGTCTGCGAGCCCAAGGGGGCCAAGTATGTAAAGAGGAAGATCAAAGAGAGAACATGCGTGGGGCTTGGGATGTGGTATAGAGGAGGTGAAGCAGTTGTGCATCTTGCCACTAAGGCTCTTGGTGCCCTGCAGGGACCTAGTAAGGCTGAGGGCTGGATTGAGGCTGGAGGGGTCTCGGGAGAGACCCAGTGGGAACTTACTGGGATTAGGGCTTGCTCTAAGGCCTGTTGGCAGCCTTCCTGAATGAATATTTTAAGAACAAGGTGTGGCAGGAGAGTAACCCAGGGAGAGTGGCATTGGAGGTTGAGCCAGGCAGGAGTGCTAAGGCTACTAGGGAGCATCATGGCCAACCGTGTAACAACAAACCCGTCACAGTCTCCAGCAACTTTTGCTGCAGGGCTTGGGGCTGGGGTGACACATGGCTTGGTACAGCTCTCCCACTAGCCACACCCTTGCTCTCCGCTGGCCAAGGAGCCACAAGGATGTTTGCAGAGGGGATGGAAGTGGCTATGTGATGGGTGGCCATCCTGCCTATCCACACAGCCCTGCTACAGCTTCAGGGCTGGGGCTGCTCTCCCTGTATCTCACAGCACAGGGAAGATGCAAAGTATCCATCAAGGGACATGGGGCTGAATGCAGAGGAGGCTGGCTAGGTTAGGACAGCAGACAACAGATCGAGCTAGGTCGGTGGTGCTAGGACCTCCCCTCCCTTCCATCATCACCAGCCCCAGACAAGACAGGTGGGGCCTGATGGAAATGTCTCAATGCACCAAAATACTTTGTTTCCTGAACAGGACTGCTGCTCCCTACACACTGCCAGCTGCAGCTGGCAAGTGGCTTGGCTCTGCACAGGCAGCAACCGATTTAAAAACAGACTGGAAGAGAATCCCTCAGCTCTTTGGGGGCCCTTACCCACCCCTGGGCAGGACCCATGCTCCAGTAAGGATTACCAATGCAGAGTCCAGGATAGGCCAGGGCTTGCTCAGGTTTGCAAATGATCTTGCCACACTAAGTGGTTCCAGGGACCTTTTGGATAGTCTACCGAAGTCAGTAGGGCTAGACACTTAAATCTAGCCCTGAGATCATCTGCACACACAATGCCTGTTTTTTAGACTCCACCATGGAGAGATGACTACCTCAGATCACAAATGTAACACAAAGTCCAGTGAGACTGTGTGAGAGAGAGAGACCAGGCGAAGTGGTGGGCTGAGAGCAGTGTCCTGATGCCAGGTTCCTGCTGCATCCAAAATTTCCACTGAAATCAATCGCTAAGAGCCTTTAGTGTGCAATCAAGGCAGGACTGGCCCACGTGCGGGTCAAGATTTCTTACAACGGCCTTAGCAGAGGTGTTCCAGGGAGCACATGGTGATTGGGGAGGGTCAGAAAATAGGGCATCTTTCCATTGAAATCCCTGCCAAAATGGAAAAGCCATTTTTAGCAGAATATTTTTTCAGACTTTTTTTCAGATGAAAAATTGAAAACTGGACAACTTTGGACATAACATTTCAATCTGGAAATACTGCTGTAAGAGGTCTGACGGGAGCTGTAGTTCAGCCAACTTAGGCTCCCGTTATTCTTTTTGAGATGCACATCTTCATCGGCCTCCACTTCCCAGGAAGCACCACGGTCTCCCGCTGGAGAGGGTAGGTGTTACCTCACAGACCCCAGTTGTGGTGCATCGTGGGAGACCAAATGTGGGCAAGGAGCCGGGTCCCTAGCACAGGAACTGTGGGGAGCTGGAGTGTAGCTGAGCTCCCCCAAGGCACCGCAGCAGCATTTCTGACTCAACAGAGTTTGGTTTTTCAGCCAAAAGTGACTAAATGAATTATCTGTACTTCTAATTTTTTACTAAAACATTCGTTTTTGAATCAAAGCATGAACTTTCCATTTAAAAAAAAAATTGTCAAAAATCCAATATAAGGTAAAACTTCCAACAGGGCCTAATCTCCATGCATTTCCATAGCCATTGGCTCATTGGCCTTTTGTGCCATTACACTCAGAGAAGCCAAACGGTGTGAAAAAAGGGCCCCAGTGATTATCCCATGATCTGGGGGCCCGAGCTCATACCAGAGAGAGATTCCCCATCCCCACCCCCCCACATGCCACTCAGTGGTGATGAGAGCAGCATGGCGGCACCGGGGCCCAGTCGGCTCCAACAGCAAAACCATAATTGTCCTCGCTGATGGTGACCTCAGGGGGAACGTACTGCACGGCCAGTGACTGGGGGGGGCGGGGCTGGTAGTCATGGGAGCCTCGGTCATCCTTTGAGCGCTGGCTACCACAGGCATGCACCATATGAGCTGGAAAAGCACCTTGCTGCCTAACAGAAAGGCAGGACCCACTGTTTTATGAGACTGGACCTGCCAAACTGCAGGCTGCTTCCAGGCACTTGGGCCATGGGGACAGTGGCCACATGAACCAAGATCCCACCACTTGAGGCCAACCCTGTCTCTTATAGGGAGTACCCACACAGCCAGGGCCTGCCTCACCCCGCAGCATCCATCTGTTGGGAAAGCTACTATGCAAGCAGGCGGCTGCAGAGTACACAACAGCCAGCTGACGGCTAAAGACAGGTGCGGTTGCTCTTGCTTCCAAGGGACAGGGGTGAAGGAAGGTATGGAGGGATTGCACAGCTGACGGGCACGTGCCCTGCCACACACAAGAGCCAATCTGCTGAGGCCTAAACTTTCAAAAAGATGGGTGCAATGATATGCCAATCACTGGACTAGCTCCCCCATCACCATTGGTTAAACCTGCCTCTGTCACTCACATGCCCAGCTTCCCTGGCATGGCACAGAGGATGGGCTGATAGGGACAGGAGGGCCTGGGGGTGCTGATGACAATCATATAGGGTCTGGTGGCAGAAGCCATGTCTAGAGCGGGGTTGGCAGTTTGCAATAGAAGGTGAGGCCAGCACTTGGGGATGGATCTGAGAAGGGCTTCCTGGGCTGGCACTGACCTGATATGGCGGTTGTGCCCTGCAGCAACACTGTGGGGCTGGGGCAAAGCCAGAGCACGTCTACAGCAGGTCTGTGGATCACCACAGCAAAAGCATCTTGGCTCCCTCCCTTCCCCCAGCACTCTGACCTGCCAGGCCCTGCCGTCACCCTGGCAGGCTGCACTTGCATGTACATGCAGGGGAACATGCGGCTTACAGATGCCATGGGACAGGGCATGCACAGACAGGTGGAGAGATGGCAGGGCAGAGAGCCTCTTACCTGAGTATCCAAAGGAAATACTGGAGATGGGGCTCAAGTAGATGCCTTTGCCATAGGCTGCTCCATGCAGCTTGCAGGGAAACACCAGTGTGAGCAACACGCACAAGGTGCGAGCAAGTGGTGAGGAAGTCAGCACCCCATCGCCCCAGCCTCAGTGAGGATAGGAGCAGATACCATATTATCCCAGCCCAGGAGAACTGGGAGAGGGGAGATATCCAGAGCACGGACACTCTGGCAGGTATCAGCTGCACATCCCTACCCACTGCCAGCCTCTCCGGCCTTCCCCTACTTCTATCATGCTATCCATTGACTCCGCTCCATCCACCTTACCCCTACCTACCAATCTGTCCGCCTGCCCCATGCAACAGGCCCTGCCCACCAGGCTGTCTAATTATATCTGTCTGCCTGCCCCTTCCAGGAGCAAGTAATTCAGGGCTGCAGCATGCCATGGAGAGGTGGGTGGGTTTGTGAGGCTTGGCTGTCAGATTTAAAGCTGCAGTGTGGCAGGGAGGAAGAGCAAAGACCTGGACACATGACCTTCACCCACAGCACACAAACTCACAGGACTTCCTAGCAGCAAAAAACAGTGCTGCACGCCCACCTCTCACAGCATCTAGAAAAGTCCCCAAGGTCAGGAGGGACAGGAAGGGTTAGCTACCTCAGCAGGACACAGTCAGGACCCCTGTGCTTGAGAGTGCATTGTCCATGGACAGCCCACCAACCCAAGGGCCACCACACTGACACAAAACCCTACTGCAAGGGACTTGCTGGAGCCCAGCACTGCGGGGGTTAATCTTGGCTCTGGACAGGTTGGGGATCTCCAAGCCGCCGGCTCCTGGATGTCTTGGGGAGAGGCACTGAAAAGCCTAGGTCATCATGCATTTTACCAAGCACCAGCCCATGTTATCCTCTGAGCGGTGCAGAAAGGCCACAGGCTGCCCCGGGGCGGGGGGGGGTGGGTGCGGGACCATTACCTGCAGTTTGGTGTAGGACGCATTGACCAGCCCATTGCGCAGGATGGAGTGCCAGTTCTCAATGTGAGAGCCACTGCAAGAGCAAGGTACTGGGGGGTCAGCAGCATGGCCCCGTGTGGACTGTCCTGCCACTTGCACCCCGTCCTTCCCTCCCTTGCACTTAAAACCATGGCCACACACTCTCCAACCTCCAACACGTGCAGCTTCCCTGGCACATACACATCCTCCACTCAGACCCACAATCACATGTACCATCTCTGCCTCACATCCATATCCTTCCTCCTCCTGCTCAGTATGACACACACGCACCTTTCTTTCTTTCTTTCTTTCTTTCTCAGTGTCTCTCACACACACCCTCCACTCAGAATCACAAACCCTTCCCTCCTTCTTTGTGCATCCTCTCGCTGCTTGTTCTCCCCAGCCCTGTCACCCCCCCCATTTCCTCTTGCACCACCTGCATGGAAACGCACACACATCCTGCCTCCCTCACAACTCAGCCTCCATGCCCACTGCCCCTCCACATCAAGGCCTAGGGCTGGGGCAGGCAATTATTTTGGGCAGAGGGCCGCTTACTGAGTTTCAGCAAACTATCAAGGGTCACATGACAGGCAGCCCAGAGCAGATTAATATTAATTTTCCAAATTTTTTAGGGGCCCCGTGGGCTGGATAGAATGGCCTGGCAGGCCGCATCCAGCCCCTGGGCCTCATTTTGCCCACCCCTGGTCTAGGGCCCCACACCCTCCCTCATACTTACACACTCACTAAATCGTGCCCCCAAACACACACCGACACACCCCTCCCCTTTGCTCTGCTTCATCAGGAGACACTCTCATAAAGTCCCCTTGTGAACGGCTCTGGGCCCTGGGGCAGAATAGTGGTTCAAGCTAAGTGGAGATACTGGTCTGCTCCCACCATGGAGGATAAACAGCAGCAGCCCCGCTGAATGAGCGCCCTGTTCACAGTGGGAAGGAAGCTCTCTGGACCTCCTCTACCCACTGCACACGTGACAGTGACAGGGGCACAACAGAGGGTTAGAAAAAGCAGAGCTGGGATAGCCTCAAAAAGGGCCAGGACCTGCCTGGTGCAGATAAGCAACTGCCAGTCTAGTGGCTCCTTCACAGCCTCACCCCTGGTATTTCCCCATGGGAAGGGGTGGGCACACCAGGCTCGGGTTGTCCAGCCAGCAGCACACTGTTGCTACAGTTTGGCAGGCAGCAAGCAGTAAAACAAGGCAGAGGGGTGTTAGCCAGCTGCTGACTGCCCTGGAAGCCAGTCCCCATCCCTGGGCCATGGATCAAGTTATTTCTGCGATCATCCACAGAAAGTCCCCATCCCTCGGAAATGCTTCACCTTTCCGTTGTCAGGCTAGCTCTAAGGGCCTGACCCAAAGCGCTGCTACCAGCACAGGAAGAGATCAGGTTATGGGGCAACGGGTTCATTCTGGAGCAGCTGCTTCTCCATCACTGTGCTGTCCCCCGTGCTATGGGGCAACTGAGCAACCACTCCCCAAAAGGCCAGCCAGCCCAGACCCCCTGTGGCCTAGCAGCCTTCACAGGAAGGAGTAGCCAGGGAAGCTCCTTGGTGCAAGTGGGCAACAAGAGGGAGCCTCCCTCTCTGTGGACTTACTGGAAAGCGAAGGTGCTGCCGTAGAGTTTCTTGGCTGTGCGGAAGCGGGCTTCCTTGGCCGGGGGACTACTCAGCAGGAGGAACTGGTGTGAGGTGTGCATAAATTTCAGCTGCTACCAAGGGAAACATATGAGCAAAAAAGAGAAGGAGCAAGAGAGAGAGAAAGAGAAAGAAATAAAAGAGAGAGATCATGCACGGAAGCTTGGTTCAACGCTGCCCCCAGCTCCACCCCCCAGTTGCTGCCCAGACCAGAGCAGGGGCAGGGCTCAATGGTGCATGGACACTGGGGGAGCCACTGGTAACAGGATAGAGGCAAGTTGAGCCCCCAGACAGCTCCTGTTGGAGCACAAAGAGTCATGACAGCATGGAGGTCAGTGCTAGACACTGCTACCCACCTCTCAGCCCTACACAGCTTGGGACAGTCTGAAAGCCATTAGTGGATACTCATAAGCAAGCGCCTTGTATCTGGCATCCTGCTGGACTCATGCCCCTGTCATGAAGATGCCACCGCCAGGACTGAGAAATCCCTGTTCTGTCCCTGAACAGGCTCTTGAGTCCAGGAAGAAGTCACCCATGAGGGATGGGGGACTGCTCAGCTATTGCGTATGTACCAGAGGGGACTCCAGTCCTGGGGATAAGGAGTGGGGAAACGCCCACAACAGCTGGAGCGGACCTGCTCAGATGCCAGCTGGGCAAGGGGAGGCAGGTGCTAGGACCCTGCCTGCAGACAAAGGGCTCTTCTGCTGAGTCACACTGCTGGCACTCACTGGCAGAGCTAAGGGCTGCTGAGTCATGCCAGCAGAGGCGGCCCATTGGCACCAACCCAGGAGCAGAAGAGGGATGTCAGGAGCTGGGGAGGCCGAGAGAGGGGTTGCCCGGCTGTAGGCCTGAGCCAGGCCAACGGTGTGGGGGAGAGGAATGGACGGCTTCTTAATGAAGTCACTACAGCAGGGCACGCACACGCCACCGAGGCACCCCGCCGAGTACACACAGCTGAGGGGATGTTTGCACACACCACCCTGGTCTTGTCTGCATCACCGTTCCCCCACCACACACACACACGCATGCGCACACACACACATCCTGCTGTCCTAAGCCCTAGTGCTTCCTTTTCTATTTGCTCAACTACCCTTGTGAGACCCAAATCAGGGGGGTGACTCCGCACCCTGTGGGGCAGGGAGGCTCTGCTGGGCAGAGGCTCAGATGGGTGGAGGTCATTCCTCCTTCTCTCTTGGCAGCAGGGCTGCACCCACCAGGGGTACAACACCAGAGAGCAGGGTGTCTGCCAACCTGACCCCAAGGGGAGGAGATCCCACCCCAAGAGGGGAGCAACTGCTTACCCTGCTGAGAGGTAGCTTGACAATGTGTGACCTGTTGCTGGAGATTATCCTGGGTAGTGGGGGAGAAAGAGACCATTAGCCCACAGGAGTGACAGCCAGCCCCTCTGGTGTGGTTTCCCACCAAAATAGACCTGACCCCTGGCCTAACTGGTGGGCTGTCCTCAGCATGTCAGAAGACAGTCAGATGATCCCCGCTGCACCTCGCTGGGTGCATTCACAGGGCAAAGAGTCTGTCCTCAGAGCTGTTGCCTTTCAGCCTTCACTATCTGCTCAAGCTGACCCCCAAGCATCAACCCTGCAAGAGATGGCTGCCCAGAAACTGGCCACAAGGGATGGAAAAAGGCTGAGCCACATACTCCTCCCAGAGTCACAGGTCCCTGTATGGCACCCCCAGAAGCACAGCCACACAGACACAGCTTGGGGGGCACCTTCCTAAGCCAGGCCTGGCACAGGGGAGCCCAGGAGCTGGGCACAACCTTCACTCCAGGCTCAGAGACACCCAGGCTTTTCCTTTCATTGATGATCCTGGGTTTTGACCTTTCCTGCCTTGGGGATGGTGACACTGTGGGGCCCAGGAAGCTCAGCCCCTCCCTCTCTCCTGGGTGCTCTTCCAAGAGGAAAGGTCCTTTGGTCCCCTGCCCAGCCCTCTGAAAGTGCACCCCTTTGTGAGCGGGTGCATTCACCCCCTGGCACCTCACTTGTCCTTCTGGCCCCTGCTCTAACTCAGCCCGGCTCAGAAGCCCACTGTGGGGTTACCATTGCAGTAGCGGGTGTGCAAGAGGGTCAAGCTTGTCCATCTGTTTCTTGATTTCCAGATACGAACCCTGCCAAAGATAAGTCAGTGATTGCAGCTACACATATAAGGTTCCCCCAGTCATCAGGCAGTCAACCCAAGTCAGGACAGGCCTTGGTCAGAAAGGCCTATCCAAAAGCAGACCATGGAGTCTCTTTCACACAGGAGGGGAAAGCACATGGCTCATGTGCTTTGGTAGTGGGTAGAACAGAGGGTCACTAGTAATCCTGGGTCGTGAGGGCTGGGGCAACAGACAACTACTCAGGAGCATGTGGGTCCTAGACCCAGCTTGGCTTTCAGTGAGGCACTTCTTAGGACAGAGACCCCCACTCACTGTATATCGGGCAAGGTCTGCCACAATGGAGCCCTGGTCATGGTCCCAGGCACACAAATGCAGAGCTCCAAGGAGTCCTGAGATAGCTTGCTCCACCCTGGCATGGGGAAAAGCAGGCGGCTGGAAGCCATCCCACAAGGATGGGGTGGGAGGGTCAGATGTTCAGGGGAGTGGCAGCTCTGGGTACCTGGGTCATCTCCCGGATTGACATCACGCTGTCCAGGGCCTTCTGCAGACGCTCATAGTTCTTCTTCTGCAGCACACGGGAAGGGAGGGACAAGTGTGTCAGCCTCTGCTCCCTGCCAATCCCCACACCTGATGCGAGGGACACTTCACTCACAGGTTGTGACCTCCCTGGGAGACTCCGAGTCCCTGCATGATCCTCTCCCTTCCACCCCGTCTCCCACACATCGCATCAGAGCTCAGTGGGAACAAGGATACCACAGTCAACATTACAAGTAAGAGGGGCCTTGGACCTGATTGCAACCTGCCCTCTTCCTCTTGCATGGAACTGCCCCAGCGCTCTGGTCTGCAGCTGCCCATAGAAAATGGATGCCAACTTCAGGGCGCCTGTCCCAGGCCACTGTCACCAACTGCATCCTGGAGGGCTAGGCCCTGTTCTGATCCCAGCAACCCCTGACCCTGGGCATCTGCCTGGGGATATAGGGGTTGCTAGGGATGCTAGATCTGCTAGATGCCCAGGGTCAGTCGACAACCAGGAAGAGGACATCCCTCTACATGACAGTGTAGCATCTCCTACCCCTCCAGGGGCAGCCATGTCTGGAAAGGTCTACGTACACACTGCCTGCATGATATAGCCAGCCTGCTACCCTGATGTGAAAGCAATGAGCACCCTGTTCACAGTGGGAAGGAAGCTCTCTGGACCTCCTCTGCCCACTGCACAGATGACACTGACAGGGGCACAATAGAGGGTTAGAAAAAGCAGAGCTGGGATGGCCTCAAAAAGGGCCCCATGCCCAGTTTGGTGACCCCCCCAGACCAATTCCTGGAGTCTCACTTGCTGCCCTTCCCTCTCATTTTAGTCCGGCAGTGGCACAAGGAGCCCCCTCAGTTTTCTGACCCCCCTTGCACTCACCTTGGGGTTAAAGGCAAGTGTTTTTGGATCGTTGGGGTCCACCACAGAGGGGTAAGGCTCAAAGATGATGCTCTTGCGTGGAGACTCCAGGGCAGCCCGACACATGGCCACAAGCAGGTCCACCACCTGGGACAGAGGGAGAGGGGCTGAGAGGAGGAGGAGGACAGGCACTGGGAGAAAGGCCCTGAGCTCTCTGTCACCCCTAATCACCCTTTGCTAGTCCCAGCCTCACAGGGGCTGACCCTGGTCCCACCCGAGTCACAGATTAGTTTTGCCTTTGGCTTCACGGGGAGCCAGCTCAGGCCCTGCTGCAAGATGCATGACAGAGGCTGCCTGTGTGGCAGTGAGCTGCTTCCAAGGCATAGGGCCCTGATCAGGAGCAGGGAGGGATCTGCTCTATACAAGGTAGGGAGAAGATGTCTGAGAAGCACCCCACAATGCAGTGCTCCTCCATGCTGACTCCAGTTTCTCCCAGTGCTGGGCTTGGGCTCCCGGGAAGGACAACTCCTCAGAGGGCTTCTTGCCTACCATAGAGACAGATCCCAGGCCACTATAGCTCTCCTGCTTCCCTAATTGCTCGCCCTCTAGTTAGATGGAGATGGCCCTTCTTAACCCTTCCTTCCCCTGCCCCCAGTGAAGTTCTTCACTTGGCGCCGGCACCTCTGCTCCTGTGGCCACCTCCTCCGCAGCCCCGGACATCACTCCTAGGGTGTAGAAGGAGAAGACACACAGCTCCCGTGTACACACAGCCGGCTGCAGGGGAGACAAAAGCAACACTAGGGGTCAAAGGTAGGCTTGTGGGCTGGCCACTGTGGCACTTCCACATCGCTCTCCAGCCCTAGCTCCAAAGCCATGTGCAGTGAGAGTGGAGAAAGGTCTGGTGTCTCTGCAATGCTGCTCTCACCCCCAGGGGCTGCGACCAGCACGTGCTGCTGGGAGGCTGTTACCATATGCACTCTGGCAGTATGACCACACACTGATGCATCCTGGGAACCTGTTTTGTTTCTGCTTAGGGTGGCAATTGTGGGCTCCCGCCCGCGCTTTGCTGAGGGGCACAGAAGCAACCGTGGCTCTGTGACAATCCATCCCCCTTCTCCACACCTTCACTTGAGGGGCTCAGACAGCTTGGTGCAGGCGCCCGCACTGGCCAGCTGCAGCCCCCCAGTGGCTTGCTACAGGAGGGTGCGAGCATATGGGGAAACTGAGGCCCAGGCTGACTGAGGCACAAGGAGGAGGGCAGATGAACACTTGTGTGCTGTTTATGAGTCAGACAGCAGGGGGCAGCAGCAGAACAGGCAACTTTCCCTCCGGCGCAGGCCAGCGCAATGCACGCACCATGCTTCATCCCCAGGGAGACGTCCGGCCCCACCAGCCCAGGAGTGTTGGGGCAATAAAAAAGTACATGAGGGATGGGGAGGGGAAGGAAGGAGGTACCTTCCACCCCAGAAGCCAGGGTCTCTGCTTGACCAGGGAGCAGATGGATCATGATGGAACAGCAGAGATTTCCCAACTCTGGTTGATCCACGGGACACCAGGCCTCTAGCCATGCCAAGGGCTCATCTTCTGCCCCAGGGGCACTTCTCCACCCTGGATGAGCAGACAGTGCCACAGGCACAGTCTGGGGCAGGCCGTACCTTGAGCATGGACCCGTTCTGGAAGACGTGCTGCTCGTCACACACCACGCAGTACTCATTCAGGGTGGGGATCCGCTGCTCAGCGTACTTCATGATCTGCAGAGATGAAGCATGGGAGAGTAGGGTCAGGAAGAAACCCCAGCACCAGCCACCCTGCACCCCAAGGAAGATGCCAGGACAGGCAGTACCAGACTGTGCAAAATCTCACACTCGGTGGGTACCACGTCATCAGGCAAATGGCAGATCTGGGCTGCACTGGCTCTGTCCAGTCCCACCTGCTGTCTTAGCGACCAAGCTGGGCAGAGTTCACCTACACCCCATGGAGTTACACCCCAGGTGTAGGAGTTACACCCTCATGCACTTGGCCCCAATCGGTCAGCCACTGCTCTACCCCCATACATGTGATCTGAAAGGACCAGCAGCAGAACAGGCATGATCAGGGGCAAGTCTGCAGAGCTCATCATGTCCCAGCCTGGACTGACACAGCTCCTCATGAGCGGTGCCAGACACATTTGCAGCATCCCATGACAAAGGAACTCCTCTTGCTATCGCTGGACGTGACTCCTGGAAGCCAGGTGGCAACCTGGATACCTGGGATGAAGGCTGGAGTCGTGGCCTGGGACATGGGAGCCCTGAGTACAACAGTGTATTGAATGTCTCCCTAGCCAACACACTGATGAGTGTGCCCATGCCCAGCCCTCAAACTTCACTGCCTCGCAAAGGAAATAATCAGTCGTGGCAGAACCATGTCCCTGACACCCCCAGATGGACCCACTTAGCTGTGAAGAGCAAAGCTATCTGTGGTACCAGCCCTGGCAGTGAGGGGCTCTGAACTGTGATGCACAGACCAGATGGGAGCTCACTACGGCACCTGGGGCTCTGATGCCATAGTAAGGGGCACAGAATAAAAACAAGTACAGCCAGGAGCAGGAACAAGACATCTGTGTCTGAAGATGGGGCCTGTGGACAGAGGGACTGCCCACTGGTCAGTACAACCTCTCCACCAAGAGGACAGTACCCACAAACCAGGGCAAATCATAGCCAGGAAGACTCCTGACTCCCATGACTTGAGGGAAGAGGATTAAAGCAGGGAGTTCTCAGTGGGGCAGATGGTTTCCAGAGAGAGAGAGCTGTGTTAGGGACTTGATTTACCTGGACAAGAAATCCATATTCCAGCGTGGGGATGTTCTTGCAGTGGCCACCAACCTATAGAGAGCACACAAAGCAGACCCAGTCGTGTCACCCCCCATCCCTTCCACACACCTTCCTGCCTTCCACCGACCCCACAGCCTGTTGGTGGGGAGATAAAGCTGGCAGCAGGGCTGAATTCACATCTCTCAGGCCACAGGCCTATTCAGGACATTTTGCCAGACTCAGAGAATGAGCCACCTTCTGGCCTTGCCCCCCATTTCTCCCAGTCTCAATCAGCATTGTATAAAATCCCACAGCTCCAAGGGGCTCCAATATGCTTAGGGCCATTTGCATGGCTGAAATCTGCACTGAGCATCCATGCCAGGGCAGGCAGGACTCTTCTGCCCTCTCACACTGCTGGCAGGTGTTCAAACCATGCACCAGGCTGCCAACAGGCTGCCACGTTGTGGCAGAAGTAGCTGGTCAACTCCCCACCTCGGTATCAGGGTGCCAAGAGTGGCTTCCTTGGGAAAAATAATGAGAGATCTAGGCTACGAGGGAGCAAGAACTATCTCAAGATGGCGGCTTAGACTGAAGAGCCCAGTGTATTATTGTGGCTGAGTTCCCAGTCCAGCCAGGCCCCAGAGAGAGGGTGCATTCAATCTCCAACTCAGCGCCTCAGTGCTCTACTAATGAGAGCAGGGTGATTTGGTCCATTCATGCTCCCACGGGGCAGAGTGTAGGGAAAATACCCGTCATCCTCCTCTGGATGCAGCCCCAGAAGGACAGCAGACCTCAGCACCATCTTCTAGGCTGAAGGAAATGGCCAGGCACTCAACGCAACATTACTGCCAGGCCAAGCCAGGCTGACCTCAGTTTTATTGACCCCCAGATCTGGTCAAGCTGTTACAAGACACAGTCTCCCAGCCAAGATGGGATTCACCAACCCTCCAGCAAGGCACAGTGTGTGCTGCAGAGATATGATGCCACGGGGAGGGGAGGCCACCAGGGTACCTGGAGAGGGGACACCCCTCCAAATGCCTGGGAAATAGTGGGAGGACACCCTGGAGAAGCACGTTCAAAGAGCAGTGAGTGCAAAGTGCACCCAGAGCCAAGGGGGATGGAGAGGAAACCCACCAGGATGCTGAATGGGGCGACACCTGCCTGGGTGCTGGGTGGGTAGCCAAACACCTCCACCTTGGGGTTCTTCATGGTGCAAGAGATGGAGCGGTTCATGAGGCGATTGACCCGGAGCTCTGGCACCCCCAGCTTGCCCTTCAGCATGGAGTCCTGGATGACGGGGAAGCTGGGAGACCTGGGAGGCAGAGGGAACCATGAGTGCCACCCCAGAGCCTCCCACCCATGGCTGAGGGCTGAGCCTGGGGCTGGCCTCAAGCTGCCTAGAGGGCCAGAGCTATCACCACATGGCCACCTGGCACAGGGTTAAGGAAAGCCACTGCAGAGTGCCCCACAATCCCCTCAGTAAGGAGAACAGCAGGCCCCACTCCACAAAGGTGGGGAGGACTGAGCAATGTCTGTCATTCACTGGACCTGGTGTATCAGCACAGCCCAGCTGGTGCAAAGGAAACCTGAGGCTGGACCTGATCCCTAGAGGGGCAGCACCAGACACAGCCCTGATACAGCACCACCCACCCCATGAAGGTCCCACACAGCTTCACAGAGTCCTTGCCCACTTTACAGCTACGAGCACGCAGGTGATCTGTATCCAAACTACACAGTAGGAAGAGGACCCATGCTAGTGAGGATATTGAAGCTCTTGGAAGGAAAAGGCAGGACATCCAAGAGAACCAATGAGTCTCTGAGGCAGCAAATGAGGGGACTCACACAGTATGGGGCAGGGGCACCCCAGCCCCACAGCTCTCACAGCACGAGTGGCAAGCAATGATGGAGACAAGGGAGAGGGGCTGGGGGGAGCAGGGAGGGAGGGAAAGTAGAGAGAGGGGGAAGTGCAAGTCTGGGAGCACTAGGAGAAAACCCAGTTCAAAGGAAAGAGAGAGCCAGCCTGAAGACAGAGTTGTGCCCTGGAGGCCACTGCCCTAGTGGAAGTGCCTGGGGCAGCCTTACTTGGGGATGGGGGAGAAGATGCTGAGCCCTGCTCGGAATTTCTTGATGGTGCCGCTCGACTTGAACCAGCTGTGCCGCTTCTCCTGCTGCGTCTTCAGGAAATCGTTGCTGAGGTGTTTCCATTGCTGGGAAGTGAACATTCCCAGGATCCTGGGGGGGAAGGAAAACACGGAAACCCTGGTCAGTTGCTGCCAGGACCAAAGGAAAAATCATAAAGGCACCTAAAAACTGATCCAGTCTGTGGGGCTGGACCCAGACAAAATGCTAGCTCTGAAGGCTATGTGGAGGCCTTATCCAATTCCTGACGGACTCTCACAAAACTCAAAGGGCCTGAATGTTTCTTGTGAGATTTTCTGCATTGTGTGACCCATGAGTGGGGCTTTGTAAAACCTACTAAGCATATATAGGGCTACACAGGCAACAGCCAGGCCTAGCATGCTTGGTATGGAGTAGGCTTCTGCTCAGGGGAGGTCTAAGAGTCCAACAGCAGAGGACATGGCAGGTCAGGACGGAGATGCATTGGCAGAACAATGAGGGAGGCAAGGCCCGAGGGGAACTCCAGGTGAGGAGGAGGTCTGGGTCCATCCAGGCCTTGGTCTCCTTTGCTGAGTTCTCTACCAAGGATGCCAGCCAGCGCCAGCTGCCTTGGGAGCTGGGCATCCAGAGATCATCCCCCACTTCACCTGGTTCCATTCAGCTTGGGCTGGATTTGGCCTTGGGGTGGAAAGTGCCACATCCCTTACCAGTCCCCCATGCCAGCAAGTCCCACGAGCAGACTCTGACTGCAGCACAGGACTGCAGCACATGATGCTGCCCCAGCCCACAACTGGGCTGTTAGGTCCCATGGGAATTCAAACAGAACCAGTGTCTTGGGGATGTGCACTCAGGGTTGTTTCCCACTGGATTTTTGAGTCTCAGGGAGCCAGCAAGGAATGACATTTCCTCAAAATGAAACCCCTTATCATTTTAGTCTCTGGTTCCTCAAGGCAAGACGGTGGTCTGGGAGAAGCACAGTCCAATAAACATAGATGAAGCAGAGCCCAAACCCTGCCTTGATCCCACCCCCCTGCACTAACAGGCTCTTAGCTCCCACCCTGAGTGCAATGCATTTTACAGTGTTGATCTCCAAGTCCTTACTTTTTCAGCTGAAGACCCAATCCAAACCCCTCCTTATTGGATGGCTGGAAAACCTCGATGGACGGTTCTGTAGAGAAAGCAGAATCAGCAGGCATTGGTCTCAAGCTGCCTGCCGTTTCCATAGATCGCTCCCCATTGCTCTCGCCTGTTTAAGTGCAAGTGAAATAGAAGGGGTGGGAGCACAGAGTTTCCACTGTGGGGCTCCTGCCCCAAGAAACCTAATCCCAGGAACCTCCCAGCCCTAATGGGACGGTCCCAAGGTGAGGCTACATTTCCCATCAACTCCTTGAGGTGATTCTGAGCAAGATGAACATGGCTGGCCTACTGCAGCCCTCCCCCAGCCTGTGTTTGCACTCACCGGGTCCATCTAGGTACTGGGAGAGTGAGAACCGCAGCCTCAAGATGATGGGCTCGGTCCGTAGGACCTTCCAGGCGGTCGACACCTCCTCCTGCAGAGAGAATCAGAGCATCATCGCCACATGCTATGGGACGGCAGAGATATCCAGGTCCCAGCTTCCCTCACACCATTCACCAGATAGCAGCAGACCAAGAGCCTGATACTGATAAGTACTGATCACCTGCTGCTTGTTGGGGTGTTCACCCTGCAGAAGCATTAGGGAGTGACAGAAGACTGGAGACAGCATTGACGCCTGTCTCTGACTGCTACCTGTGGGGTCAACCATTTTCCCAGTGTGCTGAGGAACATCCTAGTCCCACTGCTTCTATAGTCTGACTGCCCAAAAGGGTGCTCTTCCCGATCCCTGGGATTCCCAAAATGTAGAGTGACTCCCAGGTTCACAGCAACACCCTGACTATAGACAGGGGCAGCAAATGGCTCCTTCACCTCCATCTCCATGTGTGGTGACCCTCTTCCGGGACTCTCCTCAGGGAACAGAAGTCAGAAATGTCCCTAGTCAACAATTACTCAGTCCCTGGACTCACTGAGTAAGGAATGAGTAGAGCTCCTTGGACCTGGCCCGTTAATGACAATAGTGAAGCAATGAGTGCTTTTGTAATTTCTGAATGCATAAATTCTCTGGAAACGATGGACGTTTTCATCCAGATGTAGTGAAGCCAGGGAACAGGTGTATCTAGAAAAGCCACACAACTGTGGCATTGAAATCTGAGATCTTACTGCAAACCCAGGGAAGACTGGCTTTCTGAGAGTGTGCAGGATAGCTTTGTAGGAGGGCTCTGCATCTTGCTATCAACCACTGGAAGCCAGGACACTGAAGAGCTTGCAAACAGAGAGGGCCCTGCACAATGCACACATGGAAATCTCCAGGACTACTCACATCCAGGAAGCTGATATTAACATGGAGGTCAATGTCCACATCATCAATGGTCCCATATTCTCTGCAAAGAGACACACAATAGGTGTAAGGGGGTTTGGATGTATGGAGTCATCACCATCGCACAAAGAATTTCTATAAGGTTCTTCCCATCATCCTAGGCCTGGTGGGCAGATTCAGTAGCCTTTGTCTAGTTACAGGTATCACACAAACCCATAATTAATGCAGTGGGAGGACACAGAACTACCCAAAGCACACATAGTAGCTATGTCATTCACCCACAGGTCACTTACAACCCTCAGCAACCCATGTAACACAAAAAACAGTGTTCCCACAGCACACCCACATCACCGTCCCTATATCACACACCTCAGCCACCATGCTGCACACACACCATGTTCCCACATCATGCACCCCCGCCACGTCACATGCACAGCAATGCCCTTTATGCATCAGACAAACCACAGCCTCCCATGCACACAACAGTGCCACCAGCATTATACTACAGTAGCTTATGAGACAGACACAACTGATTTGGCATGCGGAAAAAGTGTAGCATGCCCTTGCATAGAACAATAGCCAAATCTGCACCCTGAGCTGGAGACCAGCTTGAATCCAGCAGCATGAAATCCTGGCAGAAGAGACTGTCTCTCTGTCCCGTGTTTGTACAGTGCCTTGCACCAATGAGCCTTGCACCAACAGGTCCTTGACCAGTGCTTGTAGCTGCTAGTGCAAAACAACCAACCAACAATGGGAGTGGGTAACAGAGCACAGGGTGCTCTGTTACTAGCAGGGGCCTGAGCGGCAGCTAGGCAGCTTGCAGCTGCCTGCAATGCCAATTAGGCAGAGTAGCCTGATTGGGAGCAGCGCCCATCTGTGCTCTATAGGAGCTGAGCCCTGAACTGCAAAGAGGCAGCAGTTTGCTGCTGCAGCTGAAGGAACAACATCCTTGGAAGTAAGGGCTAGGGCTATGGGCAGGAGGAGGCCCCATGTTCCTGGGTATGACAGAAAACTGTGCCCTGCTGGGGACGGGTGGCCTGGTGGGACCGTCTGTGGTGGAACAGTTCCCCATAAATGCCAGGCAAGTTACAACCCCAGTGAAAGCAAGTATGGGTGCCTTCTAACCCCAGCCCCACATCCCTGGTGGGTGAGATCGATCAGGGGAGCCCAGACTCAGTGAGAGTACTGAGGTCAGTGGAGGGACCCGTGGCAGCTCCTGGACTCTGCAGTGGAGGTCTGAGGCTGCATATAGGAGCCAGTGTGAAACTCCATGGGGGTGGGGCCTTGAGCCTTGGGGAGCTATTAAGAAAGTGCCCAGGGCCAGGGATAAAGAGATTGCCCAAGGAGGGCTTGGGGACTGGGCTCGGAGCCCCAAGATTGTGTGTGTGTGGGTGGGGGGGGTTGGAGCACCAAGAGTGTGTGTGTGAAGAGAAAACCCAGTGCTAGCTAGCTGGAGGAAACATCAGCAAGACATGGGATATGATAAGAGGAGGTCAGAGTTGTATACATAGGCCTTTGTCATCAGGGCAGATAAATGGGCAGCCTCCCACCTGATTAACATCAAGGCTTGGCAGGCAAGGAGGCAGGCGGCTGGCCCCAAGACAAGTGGGTGAGCATATGTTTAGACCAGCCCTGGGACGCCCACTTGTTACAGAGTAGTAATAGAGCCCTCCTGGCCAGCCCTGCCCAGAGTAGGCAGGTGTATGGGCTCCTTCTTTCTACCTGTTATGGGGTATGTATGGCCCCATCCGAAGCACCCAGAATCCCCTGGGGCAAAGCTGCGTGTCTTGCAGTTGCAGTGCCCCACTGACCACCAGGCCAGGGAAAAGGTGGGTGAGAGGGAGGGATTGAACAGGAGTCTGTGCCCATGGGATTCAGTGACAAAAGACTGGGGCCTTCTCCCTGCCCTCCCTAACACATCAGGGAGGTTGGATTAGCCTACCCTCTAGAGTAACCTTGTGCCTGAGTTGGGAGTAATGTCTGCCTCCATGCTGTACCGCCGCACAGAGCATAGCACAACACAGCTCTCAGGTCTGGACTGTTTTGGGCAGGGCGGGAGGGGGCTCTGGGCCCTGCCACTGCTAAAATCACAGTATGCTCACTGCCATCTTCATCTCCTCCTCACTCAGGGGAGAAGTATCCCTTGCCCTACAAGTAAGCCTGCAAGCCTGGGATGAAACCTGGCCTGGGCCTCTTGCCCAGAGCAGTGGCACCTATGAGGATCTACCAGCTGCAAATCCATGGGCCCAGGTCCTATGGCAAAAACCGTTTGCCTCTTCCCAACTGCAGATGCTAAAACTGTCCAGGGCATCAAATTTCCACCTGCCATAGCTAACTGATGTTTCTACTTCACAATGCAGAAGAGTAGTTGGCATGCCCTGGGCTGCCCACAATTCCTCACAAATATGTTCCCTCCTTCCACTCTCCCCTTGCTTCTGATTTACAAAGATGCTGAATAAGATCCTGCTGCTCTTTTGCTGCAGCTATATTTAGGCAGGAGGGGAACGAGGAACTTATTGTAATAACCACAGAGCAGGGCTTGGGCGGTTCCACCTCTCCCTGGGCTCATGTCTGCTGTTGGTTCCTTTGGGTTCCTGTACCTCAGGATACTTCATCAGCTGGAAACGGGGGATCAACACTGTCTTAGTCCTTCACAGAGCATCAGAAAAAGTCTCCTGTATCCCAAGCCCAGTAGACCTGGCCTTGCCTTGATCATGCATTGGATATGTCTCTAGCACAGTCCAGAGGTCTGACTGCAGATCAAGTCAATATACTCAGGATTGTTTTAACCTAGCAGGCTTAGGAGCTGGCTAACAGGCTAATCACAGCAGGGCAGGAAACATCATTCCTGCCCTGGAACAATGAGTTGGAAACATCACAGCAGGGCTGTGAAACACCCACAGCAGGGCTGGAAACATTGTTCCTGCCCAAGTTAAGTGCTCAGTGTCTGTCACAGTTATCCTGCTACTGGTACTTGAGTCTACACAATATGCAGCCACACCTCTGGATTGCAGAGCACAGAGACCCTTGGGGTTTGGACAGATGACCTGTTTATATCAGTGTAACCAGCCTGCACTCCAGTAAAGGCTGTAAACAAGGAGCAGATGGACAATATAAACCAGTGATTCTCAGCCAGGATCCCATGACATCCTGGGGTGCCTTGAAAGTCTTTCAAAGGTTCTGTGGGGTGCTGCACAATGTTAGGACTGTTAGGTGAAACATGGTTCGCAAGATACACCCAGAGATTTCAAATAGGAATCCATAATGTTGAAAACTTTCTGGCTTGTTGTGGTCTTTCCGAGTTCTTTGCAACAGAAGAATTGTGATTGTTCTATTTTTTTCTGTAGTCAAATATGAATGAAGGGCGCCTCAAATCTATAGAGGAGTGCCCTGAGTCTAAAAAGGTTGAAAACCACTGATATAAACCACTACAGCTGTGTAAGTTGAAACTGCTGTAGAATCGCTCCAGGAAAAAAAACAAAGGTAAAATTGCAATGGTGTTGGTGGCATCTGTCTGCTTCTATTCTGAAGTAGCTGTTTGCTCAGGCCAAACAGGTTTCTCATAGAGGATATGTGCTCCTCTCAGGGATGGTGCTACACTTTGATCTCCTGCTGGAGCAGACCCCTGAGTCCTGAGAACACTGGATCCACGAGGACAAGACTGACATTGTGCAGGGCAAGTGATGGCGATTCAGACCCCTTGCACAGAGTAGACCACACTGTGGGTCTACAGCTTAGTTGGGCAGGGGTTCACAGCATCCAGTGAAGATCAAACCAGCCTCCTCTCCCCAAGCCCATGCACCAGGGTAGCCTGTGAGGATGAGCTGCAGGCCCTCATTTACAGCTGGACACCTCTGCTGCAGTCACAGGCTCTGGATAAGCTAACAGGAGAGGAGGATACCTAACCTAAACCCTGCCTCCCCATTACTGGGGAAGGCTCTCTGGAGGGACTGTGACTATGCTAACAAACAGACTCTGCTCCTGGTAAAATGTAGCTGTCCCCATCTCCCCTGGCCACTGCCCTTCCCCTGACACGAAATACATCTGCTGGAGCTTCCTGAAAGGCAGAGGCAGGGGCAGATCTAGGGTAGGTGCAGTGGTGCAGTTGTGTGCCCTCTGTTTCCTGCGTCACCCAAACTTTAAAACCACCTACCTGGGAGGGGCAGCAGCATTTCTATCCAGGCTGTTCTGAGAATCAACTGGTTTATTATCCCTTCCCTGATTCCTGCTAATCTCTCTCCACTCCATAGGTGTTAATGACCGTCTCTCCTTTTCAATGGTCTTTGATGTTCCACTATTCAAACTATCCTTTCTTCTTCAATCTTGCTATCTGTTATCCAACCTTGGTACTGTCTCTCTTCTATTTCACAGCCCTGCAGACTGTTTTTAGCTCTAGCTAAAACCTTAATGCAGGTGTGGCAAGAATAACTCAGATGGGAATGTGACTGACAGGGAAGTTTTGCAGGTAGTCTCAAGGTGCTCAAAACTAGATTTTGTTTTATGAATCTGAATAAGAGATGTACATTTAACTGTAATGACTGCAGGACTAATGAGGTAATATCTTTTGACAATTTGGGCTATCTTTTGCCTAGTGTGTTGTGTTTTGTTTAACTTTATATATATAATCCAGCAAATTAGTGCACATTCCAATAGTTGTTTTTCCTTTGATCCTAAACTAAATAATATCATGCTAGCCTCCTAGCATATTAGTAAAGCATATAGTTTCTCTTTAGCTGGAAAATATATGTGCTGTGTTATATGTGATATTGTCCCACATCATCTGCACGCCACTTTTCAAAATCCTAGATCTGTTTATGGGCAGAGAGGCCTTCCCTGGCACAGCTCTGCCTGTCCACTGCAGTTTCCAGTCAGCCCCACAGATGTTTTTCCAGTGCACCTGGGAGACCAGTTTTCACAGCCCAGACCTGCTGCTTGGTGGGGACAGTGCATGACACATCTCCAGCAGCAGCCACACTCTCTGAAGATCCCCATGTCCCCAGTCTGTCTACTGGACCCACAGAAAAGAAATACCTCCCATCTGTGACTCTCTTCCTTCTAAGCAGAGAGGGGCTGGCACCTCACCCCATACCTTAGCAGCCCAGACAAAGTGCAGATCCAAACACAACCCAGACCTCTCCCTGCTCCTAACAATGCTGCATCGATACCCTGCACTGCCGCAGAACTACTATGAGATGCAGAGATGTGCACCTCGGAGCATATAAACTGTCCCCTGCCGGCCACCTCTAATCTGTGCACTCTCAGAGCAGCCAACAGCACAGGAACGAGAGAAGCAGCCAGCTCGGGAAGTCCAGGAGGCAGGAGGCGGCAATACCCACCTGACAGACACCGAGTTCTCGCTGTAGATCTCCTTCACGGCCTCAATGTCGGCATCCAGCTGCGGGTGTCGGTACAGGTCTGCCGCACATGTCCCCTGCAAGCACAGCACCCAAGCTGGTGACGGGAGGGGAATGTGCACCCACAGCCGGCAGTGGCTGCAGCCAGCAAAAGGGGGACTCAGCCAGGCCTTTTCCAGATACTTGCCCTCAGGCGAAGCCAGGGACTGGGACAGGGGCTGCAGAGCAGGACCAAAGTGCATCTGCTGAGGCCTGGAGCTTGGACAGCAGAGGGTAGAATCAGATGGCAATGGGAGAGGCTGTCTGACCTGAGGGGCACCCCAGCACCTACCTCTCAGCAACACCATGAGACTAACCTCTCACAGGTACCAACATCATTGGAACAGAGAGTGAGAGAAAGGAAGAATACTGCCATGTGCCCTGTTAGTGGAGCAGCCGGGCTGAGGGCCCAGCAGGGGATGCTGAGATGCTACTGAAACACTTGGGAAGAGATCTAAGTAAACAGCATCTTCCCCCAGAGCTCTCCAGCTCCTCCCAGCATTGTTTCCAGGGCTCTGTCCTGATTCAGGCACATGTTAGCACAGTTTCATGAGCAAAGTGGACTGATGGACCATGCCCTTCCCACTACTGCTCTTGGAAATCACCGCGCTGTTACCATCCAGTGCCTTTCCCAGGCTCAGACCAGAGATCTCCATGCACTATCCTGACAGGCACAGTACTAAACCTTATGCCAGCCAGAGTCTTTGGGCCAAGGAGGTGTCAGCTGCGGACGCACGCTGGGGGATAAGCACATGCCTCCTTACCTGGACTCCATACAGGAATTCTTCAGATTCATTGTCCCCATCCGAATCATCATCCGTCCAGTACTGGCCTTTGATGTCCTGAAAGAAGGGGCCAGTATTAGCATTGACAAGGCACAGAAGAAGCAGCAAGGCCTAGAGTCACTTCAGCTGTACCCAGTTTCGCATAGCAGCCATCAAAGAAGCAACTCAGACTAGAAGAGTTTAGCATGGGCAAGGACTGTGCAGAGGGGACCCAAGCATGTGCCTTCATCACCATGTCTGTGTGGTCTTTGTTGCCAGTGTCTCCAAGTGCCTCATCATTTATCCTCTGCCTCTCCTCACCGCCCATACTCTCCCTTTGTTGCAAATGTGGGAATCTGAAGCTAAGCGAGGTGACATGACTTGTCTGAGACCCTTGCAAGCCTACAGCTGAATTGGGAACTGAGCAAAGGTCTCCAGAATGTGAATTAGATCTTGTCTGACCAACCTGATCTCCTTCTATGACCAAGTGATGCATCACCTGGACAAAGGAGAAGAGATGGATATCATATTCTTGGACTTCAAGAAAGCCTTTGACCTGATGTCCCATGATGTCCTCATGGAAAAATTGGGGAATTACCACCTAGACAATTTCACAGTCTGATGGCTGGGGAACTGGCTCCATTGACAGACCCAGAGAGTGATAGCTGATGGAAGCAAATGAACTTGGCACACTGTAACCAATGGCATCCACCGGGCTCCATTCTTGGACCTGTACTCTTCAGTGTGTTTAGAAATGATCTGGACTCAGGTGTTACAAGCAGACGGGCTAAGTTTGCTGATGACACCAAACTATGGGGAAGTGCAGCCACCCCAGAGGATAGGCTAGCAATCCAAGGTGACCTCGACAGGCTTACAAGGTGGGCAGATCAAAACCTCGTGGCATTCAACGCTGAGAAAATGCAAAGTGCTCCATCTTGGGAGAAAGAACCCACACCGCACTTATAGGCTCCACAGTGCTACACCAGCTAGCACTGCATCCAAAAAAGACTTGGGGGCTCATGAATGATTGCCCACAAGATGAACATGAGCCACTAATGTGACACTGCACTCAGCAAAGCAAACAAAACTCTGGCCTGCATCTTCCGATGCATCTCAAACAAAACCTGGGAAATCATCCTCCCACTTTATTCGGCCTTGGTCTGACCACAGCTGGAGTACTGTGTCCAGTTCTGGGCTCCGCAACTCAGAAAGGATGTGGAGAAGCTCAAGAGAGTCCAGAGGAGAGCCACGCGAATGGTTAGAGGACAAGAGGGCAAGCCTTACAAGGAGAGGCTGAGAGACATGGCACTCCTCAGCCTGGAGAAGCATAGGCTGAGGGGTGACTTGCTGGCAGCCTATAAGTACATAAGGGGTGTGCACCAGGAACTGGGAGAATGACTGTTCACCAGGGCACCCCATGGGAAGACTAGGTCCAACGGTCACAAACTCTTGGAAGACCGTTTTAGGCTGGACATAAGGAAAAAATTCTTTACTGTCCGAGTCCCCAGGGCCTAGAATAGAGTCCCCCCAGAGGTGGTGCAGACACCTCCTCTGGTTTCCTTTAAGAAATACTTGGATGCCTATCCTGCTGGGATCATTTGACCCCTGCTGACTGCCTACCCTTTGGGCAGAGGGCTGGACCCAATGATTTTGCGAGATCCCTTCCAGCCCTAATGTCTATGAAATCTATGAATTTGGTGCTCTGACCACTGGACCCTTCTTCCAGGCAAGCTCTGGGACTTGTTCTACAGTGATCTGGCTGGCACACTTAAGGGACAAAAGTAAGCACAGCCAGTGCCAAAGGCAGGAGAAGACCTACAGAATTCATTACACTGCCACATTCGTGCTTCCCCAGTAAACACATGTCCAGTCAAGGAAGCACCCAGATGAAGAAAGGCTTGTGGAAACATGCCTTGTTTTCCATAAAGAGAGAAAAGGAGCTTTCCTTAGTTTTGCCTTAGCAGTATCAGATATGTCCCTGGGCTGGAGGTCATGCATGTAGGAATCAGAGACATGATTAGATTAACTACAAGGAGATACTGAACCTTTAACAAAAAGAGCATTTTTCCCCCTTGTGTATTGACATTTGATAACTCAAATGCAATCAGTGCTAACTAAGCCCTCTACCCCCACATTTATATACCAGGCATTTGCTCCTAATTTCATGTAACTGAACACGCATTAATCTTGTGCTGTTCTAGCTTTTACACTTTGCTGTCACCTCCTGATCCATTGTAAATTGTCCCATAGACACCAGGCTCTCCATTCACTACTGTCGGGGTTAGCACCCAGGCCACTGGCAGCTACCAAGCTCACTCAGTGGAAGACTGGCTCTAGGGAAACATTTGATGTATTTTTAGTTTCCTTCGATGCAATTGGTCTGCTGGATATAAGGAGCAAGCATCTTATTTGATCAGGCAAATGCTCCTCTGACCACCTCTGCTTGAAAATGAACCCTGATAAATAAGATTTTCAAAAGCACCTAAGTCCCTTAGGACCCAAAGCCACAGTGAAAAGTAGTGAGACTTCTAAGTCACCTATGTGTATTTGAAAATATTGCTTGCTGTCTGGGTTATCAGAAACCCACTAGTCCTCCATGGAGTCTTTTTGGCAAAAGAAGGAAAGAGGTAGTAAGCTGTGTTAGTCAGAAGGCAGGGTAGATATGCACCTTTATAGACTAACTAAATAAGGTATATAAATGAGCACAAGCTTTTGTAGGCTGAAATTCACTTCATCAGATGCTGAAAAGCAGAAAAACCAAACTTTATCTTTTAAAGTAGCAAAAACAAGCAGAGAAAAATTCTTGTGGGGAAAAAACACCCTTTGAGGGTGTCTGGATGCATCAGACATGAGCCAGACCAAGCCAGGCACAAACTACATTTTACAAGGAGCTGGAGCAGGTCTCTGCTGAAGAAACTAATGAAACTAATGCCCTTTTTCCCCACCTCATGTATGTGCAGCAATGACAACCCCTCCCAGCTTCTATTACAGTCTATTGAGGCTGTAAGTTCTACAGACTGTAAAATGTACAGCTCCTAGCACCATGGAGCCCTTCCTTCTGTTGCGGTGAGGGCAGGGGGGATCTCTAGATGCAATCAATCAAAAGTTTATTATAATTGATGATAGAATAATTGTTAATAAGCCAGCATGGATTATCACTAGCAGTCAACAACATGGATGCATTAAGGACAAATCACACTACACCAATTTGATTTCCTTCTTTGCTAGGGTAACCAGTTTGGTGGATGAGGGAAATGCGATGGACATAATGCACCTGGACTTTAGTAAGGCTTGTGGCATAGTCCCACATGACATCCTTGGAAGTTAACTAAAAATAAAAAATGAGGCTAGAGAGAATTCCTATTAGGCAAATGCATAATTGGTTGAATATCCACAAGCCAAAAGTAACTAGAAATGGATCAATGTCAGAATGGCAGGAGGTCTCAAGTGGGCCATCACAGTGGTCTATTCTGGGTCTGATGCTATTTAACATTTGTATTAATGGCTTGGATGCAGAACTGAAGCGTTTCCTAATCAAGTTTGCAAATGGTACAAAACTGGGAGGAGATGCAGACAATTTGGAGGACAAGATCAGACGTGAAAAGGAGACTGATAAATTAGAGAACTAGGCTAGAGACAACAAAATGAAATTCAGCCAAGACAGATGTACGATGCTACACTAAGGGAAAAAACCCAACTGCACAAACACAGAATTGGGGATAACAGGTTAGGCAGTGACATAGCTGAGAAGGATCTGGGGGCTATGGCCGATCAGTGTCATAATGATGTGGCCAGGCTCCCAAAGCAGCTGCCATGCACGGGGGTAGCAGCAGCTTGCAGCTACTGCCTCACCACTGGCACAATCATGCAGCGGCAGTGGCAACCATTTTTTAACACCCGCTCCCTGAGCTGGCACCTGGGATGGCCTCTGGTCACCCCACACTGGTTAAGCCACTGCTGTGGATAACAAACACAACGTACATCAGGAGGGCAAAGCTGCCACAAAAAACACAAATGCAAGTTTGGGCTGTGTTCAGCAAAGCATTGTATGGAAGACAGGGGAGGTGTCACTGTACGCAGTGCTGGCCAGGCCCCCGCTGGACTACCCCGTGCAGTTCTGGGCACCCCATTATCAGAAGGATGAGGAGAAACTGGAGAGGATCCAAAAGTGAGCAACAAAAGATAAGAACATAAGAACTGCCATTTACTGGGTCAGACTATAGGTCCATCTTGCCAGCTCTCCTTGTCATAGTGGCAAAGTGTGGATGCTGAAAGGGAGAGTGAACAGGATACAGCTCAGGTTTTTTCCACAGTTCCTCTCTCGCTTGCAGCCGCCAGCATTTAAAGTCGAGGAAGTTCTGATTTGGAGGCTGTGCCCCAAACTCCCGTGCCCAATAGCTGCTAATGCCGCTTTTCTCCAAGACTGTGTCCAATCCTTTTTTTAACAAAGGAGTTGGCACGCGAACCATACGAGGACCGACTGAGAGCACTCGGGATGTTCTGTTTGGAGAAAAGGAGATTAAGGTGGGAGGGACATGGGAAAAGTTTCCAAATACTGGAAAGGCTGCCATAAAGGAGAAAAAGAGCAACTGTCCCCCCCTCAGAGCCAAGATCATGGGGGGAGAGCCAAAATCCTCGTACGCCACAAGCCACAGAGAGCAGGATTAGGCCCGTAATGGACCATGTTTCTGGCCATCGGTGTTAGGAAGCCCCATCTAAATGCTCTGCGATGTTTGCGGGCACCTCTTCATTGCCATACGGTCTTACTGTCCTCCCATCTATGCCCTGTTTCTTCAGGGAGGACAGGCTCACAGAAGATAAAGGCAAGGTTTGGAGAAAGGAAAGGGAGAAGGAGGAAAGAAAGGGATGAGCGAGAGACAAGCAAAAGCCTGCAAAGGAGGAAGGACGTGAGTCTGTTCTGCTGTGGTGCAAAGAAAGTGCTCTGAATGGGAAATGGAAAAGAGACTAGAAGCGAGACAAGAAAAACAGCGCTGGAAGGGGTTGTGAGGCTAGCGTGACAGACGGACACTCAGACAAACGGGTAGATAGGCATGTACAGGAAATGTAAGACACACCCAAATGGCCAGCCGTGCCCCGGCTGTCTCCGGAGCAGTCGGCCTGATGCCTTGACCCAACCGGCTTCTCTCGGGGGCCTCCCGGTCTCCCGGCCTGGCATCCGAGGGCTTCACCCACACCGTCACCTCTGCACCAGGCACCCTGCGTTCAGCCCCAGCCAGCCCCTCCTCGCCCCGCCAGCCGGCCCGCACTGCGGGGCCAGGGTGGTTGATCCCACCACAGGGGCAGCCCCGTTAGCCTCCAGGATGCTTTAAGACCCTCCCTCCCCCCAACACACACACACATGCAAGCCCCTGGCTTCTCCCCGGGGATCATTTTCCAGCCAGGCCAAGACTCACGCCCTCAGCCCATCTCCTGCCAGATGCCCTCTGCCAAGCCATCCTCACCATTTGCTTAGTGGTTTACAGGCACTCCTCTGACAGGGCTAGGCCTCTCCCCTCCATGCTACCAGCCAGCCTGGAAACAGGGAGACAGACATCCAGGCAGCTTCGGGCCGTGACGTCAGGGCTGAGAGCCGGCCCGGCCCGGAGAGTATCTTCTGCTGTCTCCCAGGCAACCGAGTCACTGTCCTCTAAAAGGCAGACAGCATCCCGGTTACGTCAGCACCGTGCAGCGGGGGGCTCATTGGCTGGCTGGGAGAGCTGCCTTGTCCTGCAAGGGAAACACAGGCACTCTTTTGTATCTAAAGCAGCGAGTAAACACAGCATACGAGGCACAAGTACATTGCAACCCCCCAGCAGCGCTGCAGCCTCCGGGGCTCTTCCACCAGGAAGCAACTTGGCCCACTGATTATCCCTTCACCCCAC